TACATAAGGAAAATTCCATAGCCCCCTCTATTTACATCGGCTGATTAGGTGATTGATCGGGGGAGATTAGGATTTGTGAGGGGTTGGGACTTGCTGGGGTTCTTATTTGTTCTGTGCGCCTCTATAGGTATATTGTCACGAATATTTGAAGGCTATATGAATATGTGTGTTTATAAATGTAAATAAACAAATACGGATGTAGCCTCCGGAGTGGATAATTACGAGTTCTGTCGTAGTACAGCTCAGCTTAGAGACAAGCCGTTTGTAGTGACATCTTCCTAGGACCTATTTATAGCTAGTATCTCTGTCAACGTCAACTATGGACAGTGATACTGTTGCTGTTCAGGGCGATGCTGGGGCAAACGTCGCATCGAATGATCGAACAGAAACGGAAAAGACAACAACGACTGGAGCTGACTCTAGCAGCGGTAACGTTGCTATGGAAACCACACCAAGTATTCCTACACCCGGGATGACCTCAGAAGAACAAGAGGACGATATCACTAAAAAACCTGAAACTATAGATGCGGGTAACGATAGTGCTGCAGATGGCAAACAAGAGAATGCCGTTGAGGGCGAAGGTGGCAATGCTCAAGCAGACGTGGCTATAGAGAGCGATAGTAAACAAGAAAGTGAAGGCAACTCGAATGTAGGTGCTGTAAAGCCAGATGAGAATATACATGCAGAACAAAAGGCGGAGAACCCCCCTGTGCCTTCAACACAGGCTGAGAGAAATGCTCAGGTAAGGCTGGTATATAAGTAGTGTAGGAAGGAGAGACACCTATGCCGGTATAAAGAATACTAGATGGGCCGATGCATAACATCAATTGCATATGAATTTGGGCTCAGAATATTAAGATCCGGAAAGTGAACGATCCAGATCTGAAATATGTGATAACGATTGGTTTCGCTGAGTTCATGTTGGGCACTGAGATATGTGTAAAACAATGTACTATGAGCAAGTTTGGACGCTCGTGTTTATATGATTATATCACTATTTATAGATATTAGTAGCA